ATAACATCATCAAATTCTAGACCTTTTGCTTCATAAATAGTGAGTATTAAAGCATGTTATAAAATAGAAGGAATATTTTTCTTTGATTCTTGATCCTTAACTAAAACAACTTAATTACAACCAAATTCAATAGGTAATCTTTCCTCCACTTACTATTTTTAATTTGCTGCTTCTCCTGACAATAAATAAAATAATTCTTCTTTATCTCCATTCAATAGGATTGGTTTAGGACCAGTAATATTTGATCTTTCTTTTTTTAATTTATCAATAGTGTTTGGAAAGAAAATCTCTGATAGAGAAACTAAAGAGTTGGCTAATTATAGAATATTATTATTTGATCTAAAATTAATTATTAATTGATGTATTTTCAAATCGTTTTATTTAGCATTATAAGAAATTTCAGGTTTTTTAAAGAGAGATTTAAGATCTTAAAATCTGAATCCAACTCCTTTTGCAATATTTTATGCTGTATCACCACTGAAAAATAAACCTTATTCTGTTATTTTACATAATAAGAGTAAAACTGCATGTGGTAAGTCTTGACATTCATCAATCATTAAATAATGAATAGGAATAAGATTACATCTTCCATATACTAATTAAATTAGAATATGATTAACAACATCCATAAAATCATAATATCCTTATTAAATCTTCCATCTTTCATAAAAATATAACTTTCAAATATGTCATCAAAGAGATTATTATTTTGATTTAATCTTAAATATACTCTTTTAGGCATATAATGTCCAGGATAAGTGTGACATACTGCTGCTCCTTTTATATGAGAGAATAGATTTAAGTCCAAACAAATGATGGATTTAAATTTGCATTTTAGTATTTGTTATATTTGCTATACCAAAAATTATTTAAGAAAAAATCAAAATCTACTTCTTAAGAGAGTTTAGTCTTATTATTCTCAACTTTTTATTACAATTAAGGTTTATTCATTAAATAAAGTTATCTTTAATATTCTTCTTCTAGTTATTATTCATCCATATCATCAACATTTAATTCATTTTCATCAAATAAAGTTTCATATTCTTCATCATCATATTCTATCTCTTAATCTTCATCTCTTCTGTATGAATTTATAAAATAACTCCAGTATTTTCAGTACTCCATTATGCATGAGTATCAGAGCTTAAAATTTTCTTATCTTAAGTACGAGAAAAAAATGGTTTTGCTAATGATCCATCAACCAATAATACTAATTTTTTTATTGTAAGAAAAGCTGGAAAATCTGAATCTTTCATATCAGCAAATGAATGAAATGCATTTAATTCTTATTTTAATTTCTCTTCCTCTTATTCCCAATCTTCTTAATTTAATTCTTCTTAAAATCCTCCTTATTCTTTTTGTAATTTAATCTCACCAATTTATTATTCAAAATACTTTTCTTCAACCTATTTATCATCTATAATTTAAACAGTACTTTAATTAAATTAATTCTCAAATTATTATTTTTATGCTTCTTATTCTTATTATAATCGTTTTAATCTTTCTTTTTATTTCTTCTTCTCTAATTCTGCTTTTATTTATGCTGTCAATTTTCCATAATATCTTTTTACTCCTGTTGTTAAAACAGGACTAGCTGTAGCAAAAACACAATGTAAACCAACATTATTATTTACTTCTTAATCATCATATAAATAATTTTAAAGAACATTCTCAAGTTAATACAAATCTTTTTTATGATAATGGATATATATATATATAATTAAATTCAACGTTTTTTTTTTTTAGATAAGGACCTTTTTGCTTTATCCATCTCTTGTAATACTCTCTACATATTTTCACGATGTTCTAATTTATCTATGTTCACAATATCCTCACATGAACTTGAAATCTATTATTAGTTTCTGCTATCATTTCTACTTCATTTGATAAATTATTCAATCTATCATCTAATGTTTTTAGTAATAATTGAACTGCTCCTAAATCATTTTCTTAACCCTCATTACTTTTTCTCTTTTGATTTCTTTTATTAATCTAATCACTCTTTTCAAGATTAACAGTGAGTTATGAAAGTATTTTTTCACTTTACTAAAGAACATTAGTTAATTAGTTATTTAATTAAGTATTCTAATCAATTAAAGGTCTAATGGCTTTTTCTTATTCATTAATTACATTTTGGAAGTCATTGAATTTGACTACCATCATTTATTATAGTTGTTCCAATATTCTATAAACTTCTGAAATTTGGGGTACTTATTATTCTTAATAGAAGGATTCATTTAAATTTTATCTTTTTGTTGAACCAAGAAATTAGCTTATATTCTCTTTTTCATATTAATTTTGAGAAAAGGATTTTGTTTGTTAGGCTTACAATTAACTAATTAACTTTACTTATGGAATGAAATGCCTAATGGTTATGGTTACTATTATTAAGGTTATTGATCTCTTCTGAAAGCTTATGAAAACATTTTACTTCAAAAAATTAAATTAAAAATTATTTCTATTTAAATTTAATAATCAATGCTAATTTAGTAGTTTATTCTAGAGTAGAATATTTAGTCATAAATAATTGTTAAAATAAGAATGAAGAATTTTGAATGTTACAAATAAAATATATTGTAAATTGATAATAATATTGTTATTATTATAATGAATTTAAATTTTAAATTATAAAAATTAAGTAAAAATCAAATTTTATAATTATAAAATTTTAATCCAAAAGTTAGAAAAGTTCATGTATTAATTATTACAATTTATCCATTTTTTTGAGTTTCTAATTAAATATTAAAAAGCAATTAAATTTTCTATTATATGGAAAATTATCAATTTCAAATACATGATACCCTTAGCT